GGGTTGATCTTGTTTGGGATTCTCTGCACTCCCTGGGCTTATATATATATTGGAAAAGTCATGACGCATTTTTGCAACAAAAAACATAAAAAATATGTCATGACTTTTCTGACAACCCAGTATTTCCTTCACCAGGTTAGGGAAGTTTTCTTTCATTATTTCTTCAAATACGTTTTTCAATTCCTTTCTCTCTCTCTCTTCTTCTTCTGGTATCCCTATTATGCTAATGTTATTACACTTGATGTTGTACCAGAGGTCCCTAAACCATCCTCATTTAAAAAAAAATTCTTTTTCCTTTTTGCTGTTCTGATCGGGTGTTTTTTGCTACCTTGTCTTCCAAATCACTGATTCAATCCTCTGCTTCAATTAGTCTGCTGATGATTCCTTCCAGTGCATTCTTCATTTCAGTTATTGTAGTCTTCACTTCTGACTGGTTCCTTTTTATGGTTTATATGTCCTTTTTTTTATGCTTGTTATCTCTTTGTTGAAGTTCTCACTAAGTTCCTTTAGCATCCTTATAACCAGTATTTTGAATTCTGTATCTGGTAGGTTGCTTGCATCCATTTTGTCTGGTTCTTTTTGTGGAGTTTTCTTCTGTTCTTTCATTTGGGATATATTTCTTTGTTTCCTCATTCTGGCCGCTTCTCTCTGCTTCTATGTATTAGGTAGATCTGCTACGTCTCCTAGTCTTGCCCGGTGGCCTTATGAAGTAGGTGCCCTCTGGGGCCCTGGCACAGTCTCCCTGGCCACCTGCACTGGATGCTCCAGGAATGTCCCTTGTGTGGGTTGTTGTGCCCTCGTATTATAGTTGAGCCTTGATTGCTATTGGCACATCAGTGGGTGGGATTGACCCTCAGGTTGACTGGCTGTGTGGTTTGGACATGTCCACAGCTTATGGGCTGCTGTGCAGATGGCTTACCCCATGGAGTGGGATTTGCATCAGCGGGCTCTGGTGCCTGTTGAGACCACTTTTTGGGTGTGCTACTTGTGGGCCTGACTGGGAGGTACTCTGCTATGGTCTGAAGCCAACTTCCAAGAACATTGGTTCTGGGCCTTTTGGGCGGGGCTCTGGTGCAGGTCAAGGTCAGCCACTGCTTATGACTGAATGGGGACTACCTGGTAGGAGCCACAAAGCTATCCATGGTTGGTCGTTGCTGATGCCGGACCTTAAGTTGCATGGGAGAGGCCACACTGCGAAGCAAGGAGGGGTGGCACCAGTACCAAGCCTGGGGTAGCACCTCAAAAAGCCAGGACACTCCAAGGCTTGCTGCCACCTGCTGTCTCCCATAAAGTTCAGCTGATAATAAAGCCTCCTGCAGTATGTGATTTGGGTGTGGCAGGGTCTCAACATGTCACCAGAGTGGAGCGAACAGAGCTCACTAGACCAATTCAGATTCAGATTTAGCCATGGGAGTTGGGGGGGGGGTTTCATCACAGGAAAGACGGTGCCCACCTGCTGGCTTCATGGGAGGGGGAGCCCACACAGGAAAAATGGCAACTGTCCTTCCAGTCCTCACCCTGAAGTTACACAAGTCAGTCTTTCCCCATATGTCTCTGACACCCCTTGAGTCACTATCTCTCCACCAAAGTCCAGGATGAGTACCTGTGAACGAGTGAGTCTATGTACAGACACTTTAAGAGGATATCTGGGTTTTCTACAGCCTTCCATCCCACCCAGTCGGTTGGAATCCCCACTGTTTTTTACAGCCAGAGATTGTGGAGGCTCCTCTTCCCAGCACCAGTACTCTGGGCTGGGGAGTCTGGTATGGAATTGGGATCCCTCTCTCCTCCAGGGGGAACCTCTTTAGTTAAGATATCCCTCCCGATTCTCAACCACCACACAGAGGTTTGGGGCCAGAATGTTTTGCATCTCCACCCCTCCTACAAGCTATGACATGGCTTCTTCTTTATATCCTTAATTATAAAACTTCTGTTCACTTAGACTTCAGATGGTTCTCCAGGTTGATTGATCTATATCTTGGTTGTAAGTTTGATGTGTTCATGGGATGATACAAGCACAGCATTTATCTACTCTGCCATCTTGGATCAAATTCCTGATTTTTCCTTAATACCACATTTCTTTGATTCTAAGACACCAATTGTTTCCATAGCTTATTATATTAGAAATAAAGATGTCTTATACTTGATGGTCTCTTAACAATCCCTGTTCATCAGATGGCTGTCAAGTTAGTAATGTAGATATCATGGCCTATGCATGCTTAAATTTGGTTGTTATTTCTGTTATTTTGGTTGGACAGTGGCAAGACCTCACATTTCAATCAAACCATTTAAGGACATTTTGAAAAAGCAAAATGGAATCCTCATTATTGTCTAAAAAATAATCTGTTGACACATTCTGGTAAGGTCAAGAAAGTATCAGCATCAAATTTACCAAATGGTTGCAGTAGTTTAGATAAAATTACCAGAGAAAATGGTGGATCTCTCAATTAAAATGTGCTTCTATGCCAGCGAAGAGAACAGTCGTCTGTGTGAAACATGAACATTGAGGACTCAGACTCAAAAACTAATTTAGAAGAGCCAGATACTGAATGGGAAGAAGGCTTTGGAATGCCTGACTCAATTTATTTAGCGTACATTTTCCGGTGTGTGTGTGTGAGTGTGTGTGTGTGTGTGTGTGTGTGTGTGTAAAATATTCAGGAGTGACTAAAATAATCTGTTTAACTATGTAAATAACCTCTTTTACTAATTATAAAGTTAAAGTTCTAAATATTAATAAAGTACTACACCTTATTTTAATGCACAGTATTTTCTAAAAAAATAATGCAACTTAACATTGAGGTTATCTTAGAGTCAGTGAAAGTCCATACTATTTTATGAAACCTGTCAATGTGTAAATGATTTGATTTGACATT